AGAACAATTAACCAGTGGAACAACCTGCCTCCAGAAGCGGTGAATGCTCCAACACTGGAAGATTTTAAGAAGAGACTGGACAGCCATTTGTCTGAAATGGTATAGGGTTTCCTGCCTGAGCAGGGGGTTGGACTAGATGACCTCCAAGGTCCCTTCCAACTTTATTATTATTATTATTATTATTATTATTATTATTATTATTATTATTATTATTATTATTATTATTATTATACCACTTGCAGGAATTGAGCATGGCTTGTCTAGAGAAAAGAAGGACTAGAGGTGACATGATGGTGTGCAAATGTTTGAGGGGCTGCCACAAAGAAGTGTGTGTGTGTGTGTGTGTGTGTGTGTGTGTGTGTGTGTGTGTGTGTGAACCTATTTTCCATAGCACCAGAGGACAGGACAAGAAGTAAGGTGGAAGCTCATTAAAAGAGAGAAGCGACCTAGAACTAAGGAGACATTTCTGACAGTCAGAACAATTAATCAGTGTAATGATTTGCTTCCAAAAGTTGTGGCTGCTCCATCACTGGAGGTTTTTATGAAAAGACTGGACAGCCACTTGTCTGAAATGGTATAGGCCAGGATTTCCTGTTTGAGTAGGAGGTTGGACTAGAAGATCTCCAAGGTCCCTTCCAACTCTTTCTTCTCTTAAGTTCTGTTAAAAAAAGCAGAGGTTCTCAATATGCCTCTTTGTGGTTTTGCAGCTTGAAAGTAGATTGTGGGAAACAGTTCAAAATCCGTGATTGAGTAATATCTTTAATAGCGACAGACCAAAGCAGAATAAAAGAATGTGCAATCTTCCAAATTCTTCAGAACGCCTAATTTTTCTTTTCTTTTTTTCCTGTTTTTTCTTTGCACCTTCTTTTTTCTCTAGTGTTTTCCTTTTTTAACGTTTTTCTTTTTTTATAAATTTTATCTTTGGCAGAAGTGTAACAAAGTATATTTTTAAAAAACTGAGAAGCTACAGAGGGAAGGAAAGATGCATAGCAAGAAATACAAAAATAGCACAATACATTAGGTCATTTGCAACAAACAACACAGCAAGTTTAAAATTGTGGTAATGAGATCAATATGAAGAACTCATTTGACAAATTTTAGGACATGCTAATTTAGATTTATTTATTGCAGCTAAATAATTTCTTATTGAAAACCTCAGTGAAAGCAAGCACAATGCAAAACAGCTCAAAAGCTGTAATCTTTAACTAATAGTAATTCTAAACTAAAAGACAGTGATTCCTTTTATCGTTTCAGAAGTTTCTGGATTTCAGTTCACATTAATTTTCAGTATACATAGTTTTGGATGTAATGTTTTGGAAAGCAAAGCGAATGAATAGAATAGAATAAAATATAAATAGAATAAAATAAAAATTGGAATGGAATAGGAATATAATAGAAATAGAATAGAATATTTAAATGTACACTAATCAGCATACATTAAAATGAAATTTCGTTGCATTCAGCTCTCAAAAAAATAAAACTTTGTTTCCATTCTGGTCATTAATATATTTGCATTCCATGTTAGTGGATACAAATAAGCCCTATACAAAAACAACAACAACTAATTGTATCTTATGAATTGTGTTCTGGAAAACACAAACATTTGTGCACTCTTGAGCTATTTAGTTGGTCCTCATTAAGTGTTCAGCATTTCTAGATTTTTCTCTGTCCCCATGGCTTGTTTTGGGTTTTTTTTTTTTTTGTTATGAGCTAACACTTTCTGGAAGAAAGTTGAGATGAAAAGTTCTTTTCCACGTCAGTCTATAATACTGGGCTTTGCGCCCAATACAATTGCAGGCATTGTTGTTATTTAAGATGATAATAATTGAACATGTTTAACAGAAACAGATGTACAATGTTAGAACTGGAAAGTGCCATTTAGAGGCGCCTATGAAATAAGTCAACGTATTTATTGAGTTCTACAAGCTCCTCTGTCTACGTTCATCTCTATTAAATTCATACATTTATAGACAGACATAATAGGGATATTGTAACTCCTGACAGTCAGCAGTGAGTTAGCTTGCAGTGCTACATTCTAACCACTGCACCAACACGGCTAAAATATGCTAGGCCAGTGGTTCTCAACCTTTTTAATGCCGCGACCCCCAACCGGTCGTAAGTCGAGGACTAAACCGGTCGTAAGTTGAGGACTACCCAACCGGTTGTAAGTCGAGGACTTTCCCTGCCCGGGAGCACCACACATGCGTGGTTCCTCCCCCTGCGCTGGCCGAGGCATAGCTGGCAAGCGGCAGAGACAGAGCAGGCCGACCACCAGCTGGCCCAGCTCAAGGGAGGTAAGGCACCCGCCGGAAAAGGGGAAAAAAATGGCGGACAGCCTTGCTTGGCGACCCCCATGAAATGGTCAATCGACCCCAAATGGGGTCGCGACCCATAGGTTGAGAACCGCTGTGCTAGGCTAAAATATGCTTGGCTTGTTTGTGATTTGATTATGATTTATTCATATTTTTTGCCAGCTTTTTTTTTTTGCAAATGATGTCATTTTTTCATTTGCTCCATAAATTATGGGGAACAATCCATGGATGAGAGCAGGGTGCGAATTGCATTTGTGAAAGGAGCGTCTGCCATTTCACTTCTTTTTGCATTTTATTTTCTTTCTTTTTTTTTAATCACCTTATGATTTTTACCCTGATTTTTTCCAGGGAGGCAGAATAGTGATGAGGATGTGCTGGACCTGGCTGAATACACAAAGAATCAACCGTGGTGGCGCAAGCTATTTGGGCCGAGTTCAACGTCCAATGAAGAAAAATACAACGTGGCCACCCAGCTGGCGATTGGAGGCGTCACGGGATGGTGAGGCTGTTGGTTGCCCTTGGATTGAATGATGGGTGACAGATGACAGGGACAGGCCCAGGGTCACCCAGCTGGCTTCATTCCCAAGGCAGGATTAGAACTCACTGTCTCCTGGCGATTGGCCCAAAGTCACCCAGCCGCCTTTCATGGCTGAGGCGGGACTAGGATTCCCAGTCTCCTGGCGATTGGCCCAAGGTCACTTAGCCAGCTTTCATACCTAAGGCGGGAGTAGAACTCACCATCTCCTCCTGATTGGCTCAAAGTCATCCAGTTAGCTTTTGTGCTTAAGGTGGAACTCCTGGGGATTGGCCCGCTTTTCATGCCTAAGATCAGGCGTAGGCAACCTTGGCTCTTTTATGACTCGTGGACTTCAACTCCCAGAATTCCTCAGCCAGCTGTGCTGAGGGAAAGGGAGAGGTTTCCAAGCTGAGCCATGCTGGCTCAGGAATTCTGGGAGTTGAAGTCCACGAGTCATAAAAAGAGCCAAGGTTGTCCACCCCTGCCTAAGATGGAACTTCAGTCTCCTGGGTTCTCAACTGGTGCTTGAACCACAACATCAAACTGACTCTCCTCTAGCCTGGTTTTATTTGACACTCTCCCTTTGGATTCACAGGTGCACCGGGTTCATCTTCCAGAAGGTTGGCAAACTAGCAGCAACAGCAGTGGGCGGGGGCTTCTTCCTGCTTCAGGTGGGTTCTCGCTTGGGCTTGGGTTGATGGGCAGCACAAGGGGAATGCCATCTATCTTCAGCATGTTTTATTTCAGCGGTGATAGAAATTAGGATAATTTAATGGAGCCTTACGTCCCTTGCATTTTGACTTGGCCACGTAGCACATTCAGATGTGACATACTTCCCTTTTACTGCAGAACTTCTTTATAGACATATTCAGGTCAGGGACAGCCTCATGCTATTGTGTGTCATGGGATACCCTGCTGTTCCCGATAGGACATCTTTGCTTCTAGAGATCGGGAACAGGGAACAGGTGCCTCTTCCTGTCTTTCAATAACATCGGGACAGTTCCTGAGGGGGGTCTTTCATACCGCAGCCAGTTTTGCAGTTTGATTAGCTATAGAGGGTGGCATCCATTGGAGCTGCCTGCAAGGGTCAGGGAGTTGAGATCCTGCTCTGCAGTAGTCCCGCTTCTTCCTGGGCAGAAAATGTCCGCCGTGCATGCCTTTCTTCCTTTGTCATGAAGTGAGTCAACTAGGGCAGGGGTAGGCAACCTCGGCTCTTTTTATGACTCGTGGACTTCCACTCCCAGAATTCCTGAGCCAGCATGGGGGAAACTATGGCCCCCTCATGACTCGTGGATTTCAACTCCCAGAATTCCTGAGCCAGCTGTGCTGAGGGGAAAGGGAGAGATTCCAAGCTGAGCCATGCTGGCTCAGGAATTCTGGGAGTTGAAGTCCACAAGTCATAAAAAGAGCCAAGATTGCCTATCCCTGGACTAGGGAAATGAGCAAATTGTCCAGGAAAACCTGGCTTTACGTGCAGACCTTTGCTTCATGAAACCTTTCCTCCCCCCCCCCCCCAGCTTGCAAACCACACAGGATACATCAAAATCGACTGGAAGATGGTGGAACGAGATGTAAGCAAAGCTAAGAAGCACCTGAAGTTTTCAGGTAGCACCTCCAGCAAGCTGGCGCCAGAGATGAAGAGCCAATTTGATGAGGTGAGGCTGAAGGCCAAGCCCGTGAAAAGATGGGTTTGGAGGGCTGATTGCTGGGCTGGGGCAAGAAAAATGGAATAATTGTGCAGTAGAGAAGGCGGACTGAAGAATTAGGGTGAGCAGTCCGCGGTCCTCCCAGGACTGTGCTTCCCTTCCTAGCTAAGCAACAGTTACACAGCCGTTGAATATCGGTGGCACAGTTTTCTCCAGCATAAAGGCAAGATATCCAGATAGAGAATAGAGCTGGAAGGGACCTTGGAGGTCTTCTAGTCCAGCCCCCTGCTCAAGCAGGAGAACCTATACCGTCTCAGACAGGTGATTGTCTAGTCTCTTTTTAAAAATCTCCAGTGATGGGGCGCCCACGATTTCCGAGGGTAAGCTGTTCCACATGTCAGTGAATGTCCTAAAATAACCTTAACAGAGTTTCAAAAAAAAAAATCTCCTTCCCAAATCTGTGTAGATACGACTGCACCCTTGCACCATCACCTCCTCCTCCGAGCAACTTTGACTAAGCTGTGGACATCCACAGGGCATGTCTGCTAGATTGCATGTGGCCTGTTAGATCACCTTTTGAGCATTAGATTAGACAACTCTCAGTCGTTTTGCTCAATTCTCTTTGTTGACTTTGGGGGATCTTTGTTTCACCCGTTACCGTTAAGTCTTCCATGAGCTGATCAGTCAGTTATTAGACAGGGCTTACATGTGTTAAACCTCAGCTTGTTTTAGCCACAGAATTTCGGAGAAACCATACACGTTGGTTCTGCAGAAATTGCTCAGATGCAAAGGATGGTTTGTGAACCAGAACAGCGGGGTTCACCCAACATGCTAAAGAAACGTCATTAAAGTTTACATAAAGGTACCCAAACTGCAGAAGAGCTAGGCATTTTCTAAGTTGAACGAGGGAAGCAATTCTGGAAGGAGGGGAGTTTTGCCGAGTGCTGCTTTGGATCCATCGTAGTCCAAGTGGCTCGCTTGGCTATGTCATTTTATCTCCCCGCTGTTCCCAAAGAAATACTGATTTGTGAGGACTTTTAAAACAAGGCTTTTCAACCAGTGGTACGGGTACCACCTGTGGTACATTGGCACCTGGCAGGTGGTACGTGACCATCCTAGAAAAGTGGTAGCAGGGGAGGGGAATGAGCTGAAGCGGTGGCAGCACCGCACAAGCCTGAGCGAGAGATGGCTGGAGCTGCAGGGCTGTCAGGGCTCAGCGGAAGCGCCAGGATCAGTGTCAGGCTCCAGCCAGAGCTCAGCGCTGATCCTGGTGCTTCTGCTGAGCCCAGAAGAAGCGCCGATCAGCTGGAGTGTTGCAGCCTCTCCAGGGTCTTGTGATTTACATTCAGATGCTTGGCAACTGATTCATATTTATGACGGTCATAGTGTCCCAGGGTCATGTGAAGTGACCAAAACCTGCTGCAACCACCCAGCAGACGGGGGGGAATAAAAACCAACCCCCCTCACCCCACCCCCGCTGCCAATCCTCAACAGAAATGCTCACAACAATGAAAACCTCGGACAGGAGGAAGAGCGCTGCCAGATGGGCAGGCAGGTGTCTTGCTCGGCTGTGGCTTGGGGGGCACTTTTTTCAGTGCCATTGTAACTTCAAACAGTCACTAAGCGAACTGTTGTAAGTCGAGGACTACCTGTACTTTATTACTTTTTTCCTTTTTTTTTTTTTGGTCATCAAGTTTTTGACACCTTGCTAGGCGACTGGTGGTACTCGGATGTTGCCATATCCTAAAAGTGGTCCAGTGGGTGAAAAGGTTGAAAAGCCCTGTTTTAAAAGCTCTAGCAGCGGAAGCACGAAGCGTCCGAGCCCAGCCCCTGTAAACTTTTCCTTTTGTCGCTCCAGGCCGTCAGTTTTCTGAAGAGGAACGTTCTGCTGTCTGGAGGCTTCGTCGGTGGGTTCTTGCTTGGCATGGCTTCTTAGGAGTCCTGCCCAATCTGCCTTTCCACCTGCTGGTGCTGCGGCCATCTCCTGCTTCGTTCCTCCACTGCCCGGTTAGCCCACTGAAGCACTCAGCCTCCTGACTTGCCCTTTTTTTTTTTTTTGTGATACCTGCAAAGTAGCACCTAGAAACACCACCACTAGGCCTTTTTCCCCCCTATTAGTTCCTCCTTTTTTATTCGATACAGGAGGGAAATTGGATTAATCTTCAGGATGCACTCAACCCCTGCCTGAGATTCCAGAATCTGCAGAATTCCCCTTCCCTCCCACAGCATTTATTTTTTCCCTCTTACTGGCGTAACCTACACACCTTACTCTGGAAGGACCCATAGCATCTGCTTTTGCGTTCACCTTCTCATTAAGGGTCAAGAGAACTTCCTGCACCTCCTCGCAGGCCACAGAAGCCAGCAGGTCTACAGGATGGGATGAGAGCATATCCTGAAATAACTGCCATCCAGAAATGGCCGCTTCTTCCAGGCTTCCTAGCAAAGTCGGTGCCCGGGAGGAACGGCCCCTTGGACTCATCCAAGTTTTTATTTATACTACAGGATTACTGGAATAATCTGTGGAAACTCTTTGGACTGCTGTGTGGGATTCTCCGTAGTCCTCCATGTCTGACTGGAGGCCTGGAAGACTTGGCAGGGCTGCCTGTCGAGGAAAATATCATTCGTGGTAGCCCTGCGGAGACGGTCAAAGTAATGCTGGCTTCTCCGTGGTGGGATGGCGGCAGGAGTAGAGTCTGGCGCTTGCAGCTGTTAAGATAAATTCAAGTCTTGGTAGCAACTGCCTGTGAATCACGGGAGTGGAATTATGTTGAGGGTCTCGACTGTCTGGTTCAGAACTCTTGAGCGGTGGGCTGCAGGGTGAAGAGGGAGCTGGGTAGGGGTCCTCCTGCATCGGAGGATTAATTTTAGCTCAGGGTGAAAGGGGCAGAATTTGCCTAAACTTTATAGGAATGGATATTGAGCGGAAAGATATAATGCTTTAGGTGTGATGTCTCCTGAGGTTCTCACCATTTTATCCGTGGGATAATGGCATTAGCTCATTGACTCATCCCTTTTTTCCCCACCCAATCTCTATAAATGCATGCATTATTGAACAGCAGAAAGCTTTTTTGGCCTGCAACCTCTTTCATTGATCTTAGGTAGAACTCTGTGCCATAAAGACTTACGCCGTCCTTAAGAGTGTTTATAGCAATAGCATTCAGAATTATATACCGCCCTGTAGTATTTACAACGTTCTCTAGTTTGGAAGGTAGAAGCGTTATCTGCATGTTGCCCCCATCAATCTGGGCCTTCATTTCGCCAACCTCGGAAGGATGGAAGGCTGAGTCAGCCTTCAGCCCTGTCAGGATCGAACTCCTGGCAGTGGGCAGAGTTTGCCTGCAATACTGCATTCTAACCACCATCGGGGCTTATCATCATAGGCGCCCCCAAGGCTCATCGTATGTTTCTAAGAACATACAGGACTATGTTTCACCTTGCGAAACTCTAGCTTTATGAGATTATTGGAGGAAAACAACCAGCTTGATATTCTGACAACGTGGAATCTCCGGAGTTAAAGGCAGACTTGCTTTCACGGCAAATCACTGATCTCCTGACCTGAACCAAGGCAACAAGAAATTAGTGTTTCTCAAACTTGGCAAGTTTTTAAGAAATGAGGACTTTGCCTTCCAGAATTCCCCAGCCCAGTATACCTGGGGAGTCCACGTGTCTCAAAAATCGCCAAGCTTGTGAAGCACTGGTCTTGAATAATGGCCTTTTCTAGGAGTTGAGCAAAGATTAAGGGTCTAAATTTGTGACTGCGTGTATTCATACCACGTGTCTTTTGTCATTGCTGCTTCCCAAAGGAAATCTATGATCACTGTAGTCCTTGGGCAGTAGAATTCCGAGTACTTGCAGGACAGGTTTTAACGATTTCAAAGGTCCCCAGAACTTCCGGTGAATTTCAGCGAGACAAGAGTCCAGTTTCAAGGTTTTTATTATCTACCAGGAGATGCCTAAAATAATTTCCATGCTAGGAAGTCTTTAAACACAAGAGGGAGCTTGAATAAGCCGACTGACCTATTGGGAAACACGAGAGAATAATGTCACCCTTTGGGGATACAGAATGGATGCAGGGGGAAAAAAAATCTTGTAAAAGCATTTCAGTAGAAGACATTCAACTGACAGTTCTTTTATATAGCACTTTGGATTTAGTCTTCTGTTTAAATGTTTGTAAAAGATTTTTTTTTCCTCCTGCAGGAACATAAATGGCTCACTTGTCTACAACATTTTAAAACAGATGCGTCTTTCTCCCAGAATCGCACAACTCTTACTTATGATGCAAAGACATAGTTGCTTTGCAATTAGTTACTGTCAATATAATCCAAAGACATCTTTAGAGATTGAAGTTAAAACATTATAGACAGTGGGTCAAATTTAATTTAACTGTCTGGGGCACAGTTGCAAAACTGAATACTGAATCCTATCAGCCTTGTGTGTCAGACTTAAGAGGAATCTACGGTTCTAGGTTTTTATACAATATTCAAATGTTTTGAAGTGAGAATTAAATGGTTTTTTGGAGTCTCTTTTATTTATTCAACCTGTATGCCCTCAGAGCTCTTGGAAAATGGAAAATCTCTTAGAAGTGTGAGGTTCATGTATTTTTTTCAATTAAGCCTAGAAGAATTAAAAGGAAACGTTGAAAAAGGTTACGATTGTAATTACTCAGAATAATTTTGTCTCGTGTGGCTATTGGTGTTTGCTGAATAGTGGGCAACCTGATGCTTTGCTAATTAGTTTATATGATTGATTAATACCAAATATTCTATTGTATGTCCTACAAAGCAGTGGGCCTATTTCATATACAGATCTCTTATAATTTGCAATGCAGACATTCATTTTTATTAAGTCCAGGCTGTATAGTATTCTACCACAAATAACTCTTTTCCTGAACTTGGAAAATCCCAGTCCACTCAGATCACAGCTCCATATTATCATTGTCTGGCCTTGAACTGTAACTCGCATGATTCTGGCCGTGCTAGTTAGGGCACACGCCTATATCTGGTTTATACTGGGCTGGCAATAGGACTCCGTTCTAGAGCATTTTTTATTTTATTTGGGAGAGCTAGAGCAGTGTTTCTCAACCTTGACAATTTTAAGGCATGTGGACTTCAACTCCCAGAATTCCACAGCCAGCAATGCTGGCTGTGGAATTCTGGGAGTTGAAGTCCACATGCCTTAAAATTGTCACGGTTGAGAAACACAGCTAGAGAATAAGCTCAGAGCCTTATATTTACAAAACAGGCACCGCTCTGCTGAGCTATAGCCTCTCCCTGCAAACTTCCAACAAATCTGATAACTTCTTCAAGTTACTGAAAGAGAATTGCAGACGTAAAATACACATTTTGTGGTTTGACTTCAGCTACTGAATGTCCTGCCCATGACATTCATCGGATTCGAAATAAGGGATTATCTCTGCCAATTATTTGGACCGCTAATAACTATGCATTTCTCAGTGACCTAGACTTCACTCTTAAGAGGAGAAACTTAACTCTGTCCCGTCATCCGCATAATTCTGTCCAAGAAAGGCAATTCAAAATAAGTCCGTTCTCTTGGGCCTGAAGTATTAAGATAACATGACCGTACCCTTGTATGGATTGTGTATTTATTGAGTTGCAGCAGCTTGCCCCACCAGCTTTGCCAAAGCCCGCTTATGGCGTACACAACATTGCAGTTATTTTGCGATGGTTTTCCAACATTGAGGAGGCACAAGATACAGAACAGCAAGAGTTGTAAAGGGTGCTCCAGATCCCTTGGGGAAACATTTGACTAAGTCGGGGTGCTACCCTTAAAACATTCCATTCACAGAAATGGGATTTCATCTGCATACATAGCAAAAGGTTGAATTTTAAAAATAATACTTGCAACTCTGGCTTTCCACAAAGTGCCTATTGCTTTACAAATAGGGGAAAGGAGGTCACACAGCACACATCCCTGAAATCAGCTGCTTCTACCACAGCATTACATAAATCAACATTGTGCAATTGGATTTGACCGCTACTGAATCAAAATCCAGAGAACTAGGTGGTTTGATCTTACCTTTTTTTCTCAGTGAGAAAACCTGGCACGTTCGGGTAACCTACCGATGGGCTAAAAAGCTGGCTTTAGTAGTTGCCAACCTGTTCCTGTCTAGCGGAAAAGGACAACTCTTGAACAGAGCGAGAAACGGCCGACTTCACGAGCGTGTAAAGTCTTTGCGTTTCAACAAAGGACCCGCTTTACCTACCACACACACGTAACAAAAGATTGCCTGAAATTTGGCGCCCAGCCAAATGGCTGGATTTCACCTTCCAGTTGGAATATTGCTCTTCTGGACCACAGAACAAATGACACGGACTATTCACGGATCGAGGGGGTTCTACTCCAAATCTACTTTACAATAAGGCTACAGCAGTAACATGGTTTTTGACAACAAAAGTGCTAGGAGCTCTACTCTTCCGACAGGCGGGCTCATCGTCGTCTTCGGGTTTCCGCTTCGGGCGGTCTGGAAGAGGAGCTGGCTTGCGCTGTGGGAGCAGCCCTCCCATGCTAGAGAATAAATTGAGGTATAGCGCGGTAGCTACGTAGGCGGCAGGTAAGGCTGCTCGGCCCTCTCGGAGAAGGGTCTTCCTCAAGACTGCAGAGGGTGAGGTTGGTTGGAATCGGGTACCTGCTTCTCTCTCTCTCTTTCCACCCCCTTAAAGCCTGAACAAGAGAGGGATATGCCCTTGGGGTACTGGGCACAACACCGTCTCATCTCCTGGAAGACAGCTTCGCATCTAGATTCCAAGTAGTTGTTTGCTGGAACGAAAGAAGACCCAATGGTGAGTGGTCTGCAGAATGGAGGGGGGGCAGGCAGAATCCCCTTCAAAATAGGCCTATGACCACCAACGAACACGCACCACGCCATTTCTAAAAGTCGTTAAGGCAGACATGTCAAACACAAGGCCCGGGGGCCGGATGCGGCCCGCGAAGTGGTTTCATGTGGCCCGTGAAGCCATCCTGGAAACAGTGAGGGAACGGCCCCCGCTGCCTTGGCCCTGGCCCAGGCCAGCCGGAAGCCAATGTACAATTTTGTGGTGGCCATCTATGCTGAAACGCATTCAGTCTTAGCTCCACAAGGCCGTCTGGAAACAGCAAGGAACCAGCCCCTGCCGCATCGGCCCCGCCCCCTGGGTGCATGCTGGGGAGGTGTCACCCTTTGTGAGGAATGAAGAAATGGACCATGCCTTGGCGCTTGCCCCGGTCCCACCTTCTGCCAGAGACCCCCAGATCTGTCCCACTCCTGACCAGGCCCCCACAGGCCCCCTTGACGTGAACGATGTAGAGCTGGCCACGCCCACCCAGTAGGCTGCACCCTCTCCATCCACACCCACCCAGTAGGCCACACCCATCCGCCCCCCCCGAGGGCAACCACAATGCTGATGCGGCCCTCAATGAAATTGAGTTTGACACCCCTGCGTTAAAGGTCTCCAGAAGATGTCATGAAATTTGCAATTTTTCAACAAGGAACCAAAATGACGTTCATGACTGCAGTAACTACATTTAATGTTAATGCACGCAGGTTTAATGGAAATGAGATCGGGATACTTGGGTTTCTTCAACTTTTAGCGGTATCAATACTTGATGTTATATCAGGTCTCCCGCCTTGGGCAGGACGTTTCGACTAGACCTCCAAGGCTCCTTCTAGCTTCTACGATTCTCGGTCTATATCTGGGATGAAGGCTTTAATTACAGGCTACAATTTAAGCTGGCGCTTAAGAATTGCTCGCAGAGCACCAGAAGTTCACACAAATATAGACACACAGATCTGACCTCTGTAGCATTTTGTTGTTCTGAAGAGCTTCGACGTTATTAAAACGCAGCAGGTTGTAAAGGAAAGAGTACAGAGTAGAAAAACACGGCAAAAACTATTTCCTCTAGCAATTTAGGATAAACATGAATAGCTAAATTTGGAAGGAAATCTTGTTTACTCCAGAAGCAATTGCTTTCACCCCCACGACCTCAGCAAGCAATCAAAACTGGACACGGGCTGCTGGGAAGTCATATGCAGTCTATGGATAGGGGTACAGTTTAAATCATTTCTGCTAATAAGTATGAAGTAATAATAATAATTAATAATAATAATAATAATAATAATAATAATAATAATAATAATAATAATAATAAAGTTGGAAGGGACCTTGGAGGTCATCTAGTCCAACCCCCTGCTCAGGCAGGAAACCCTATACCATTTCAGACAAATGGCTGTCCAGTCTCTTCTTAAAAACTTCCAGTGTTGGAGCATTCACCGCTTCTCCCCTTTTATTATTATTTTGAGTTCGCTGAACCCATATTTTCTAAAAATGCTTCGAAGGGCCTGGAAAAGGCATCTATTTACTTAACAATAATTCAAATGCTACGAAATCAAGAGAAGCCACTTACTTACCTTGCAAACATTTCTGGATTTCACAGGCATGTTTCTTACAGGGGTCTTTTGCAGCCATAATCAAGGAACTAGAACAAAATTCAGAAAGAAAAATATTATCCTGGCAAACTGGAGGGTCAACGCTCCTAAGGCCCTATCTAAAAAAAAAACAAAAAACAACTTCATTTCTCCTCCCATCTGTAATTTGGTAATAGAGGATCCAGCCAGTCAAGGATTTTCTTCACCCTCTTTAAGTCCATTTTCTTGCTCCTGAAAAGGGTTACCTGCCAATCTCCCACGTGTCACCGAGAGAGCTGGCAAGAGTCCAGGTGAGTTTTGCCTTCCCCAAAGCTTGCCAAGCAAAAGACAACATAGAATGGAGACAGTTCTAGGAGGATTACAATGCGCTAACCTGGTTTGCTTAAACCCAGCTTGCCAAAATAAAATCTGATGGGTTCATGCAACAAAACCAAAGATCACCATCACAGTAAATAGCTTCGTATCGTAGACTAAGTCATCATCAGACTTTGTTAGCTTAGTGTGATAAATAAACCCAGCCAGAGAAAGATGACTTCTCCTTAATAGATCCTGGGATTTATCAACCGCTAAGTTGTTAAGTTCCTTTTCTAAATTTTGGAATGACACTTAGAAAGACACAGCCTTCCCTTATTACAAACGTCGTTAAACAAACTTGTTGGATAGCATGCACTCAAAGTCAAAGGATGAAAAATAAAAGATTGCATGCGTTGGAGAAATGAGTGGAACTTGAATGATAGTTCCTTGTTCGTGAGAGGAAAGGAAAGGAAAGGAAGATATTTTGAAAACTAGATTCTCCCCTCTGAGTCACTGGTCTCGTAAAAACATGTAGGGAACAGTGTAACCCCTAGTGATGCTGCCAGAAATTAATAAGATGAAAAACCAAACACACAACATCCTTGGTCGGTAAAAGAACACAGTATTTTTCAAGGCGGTTCATTCGAGGAAGAAGTTATGACCTGCTTTACTGGATCAAGACCAGGGTCCATGGGGCCCAGCCATCCATTCTGACCTTCCCCACTCCCCCCCCCCCCAGGCTTCTGGAAGCTCTGCAAGCAGGAGGGCTGAGACCATCGCCATTGCTTGTTACTCCGCTCTTAACCGTGGCCTTCCGACCAGCTTTCCAGCAGGGGAGGGGCAGGTCCAGTCTGCCTACCTAAAACTGCCCCTCTGCTTTCAAGTGGCCCATGGGACTCTTCTCGACTGCCTGTCCTAAGCTCTTGAGTGACGCTGCTCTGGGCGGTTAAGAGAGTTGCACGCCACGGTCTGCCTCAGGGGCAGCGGCATGTCGAGTGCTAGGAGGTAACACATAAAAAACAAACAGGACACCATCCTACAGTTGCAGCTCCTGAAAGACAAAAAGCCGGCATGAAAGAACCACCGTGAGTAAAAAAGAAAAGCGGAAACTAAAAAAAAAAAAAATGAACCCAAGGGAGGGGGGGGGGGGGGGAAGACGAGAGGGGGAAGAAGCTCACCAGATCTAATTGCTTGTCAGGAGTCTCAACAGCAGCTCTTCCACTCCCATGATCTGCAAGGACCCAAAGACGCATTTATTGTAGCCCAGCCAACGGGACGATATCATCGGGACTAGACTTCCACCAACTCTCCACTGGGCAAGGTTTAGTTTGCTGAAGGCAACCTACCATGAGGTGGTGTTCAATGCCCCAGATGCGAGAGTTACTATCCCGGTACCGCAGCCCCTCTGAGAGCTGCCACATGTGGGGCAGCCGAGAAGCGGGAAGGCGGCTGGGGCGCACGGCTTCACCCAGGGGGACAGGGATTCTTCTGATCCGGGCTTTCAGCGTCCCTCCTTCCTAAAGAAGGGAGAAGCACAAAAGGCAATCGCGACACACTCCAGCCAAAACCAGTCTAATCAACCTGGGCAAGGAAGCAAGGAGCAAAAGGGCGCTTACCTCTTCTGGTGCCACCAGCCATGTTGCTTGGGTCTCATCACAGTAGACACCCATCCGTCGTACCCAGAGGCGGACAGGTGGGTCCTGGGCGTCGCCACCTCCCTCACCTTCCTCCATGCCCTGCTATTGGCTAGGAAGGCCCGCCCTGGATTCCCATGTCTACACGTCCACTTTTACCTCTGAGCAAAGATACGCAATTGTTAGTCCTGCAAAGAGGCGGCGCCAGGAGGGAGAGCCAGGTTGCATGCAGTGTCCTAGCACCATGAAGAGCATGTTAAAAAAAAAAAAAAAGGAAAGAGTTTAAGAAATGTGTGCCGGTCATTGTCCCTTTGGAGAGATGAGGTGGATTCCATTGGAAAGGTCTTTTGAGAAGAAAAGTGTGGTCAGTTATGATACGACCTACCCGTTAGGACCAAGTCAGTCTTTCTCAACCACGGCAGCTTTAGGAGGTGTGGACTTCAAATCCCAGAATTCTCCAGCCAGCTGGGAATTGGAAGTCCACACATCTTAAATATTGCTGAGGGTGACAAACACCAATCCAAGTGAGCCTGCCATCTGGATGAGGCCTCGAGAGCGCAACACAGTTCAATTTCCTCATTGACATTACCCCAGTTTGCCTTCCCATTCTTTTCTTTCTCTCTTTTAGCTGATCTCTCCACAACCACGTTAAGACCATTTTGGGAGGAGAAAACAAAATAAATCTACAAAATCTGAAATCAAGAAACTGGTGATTTGGGGCATTATGTTCTCTGCTGCTATCACTCGAAATGGCTTTTAAGTGCTGAGTAAGGTAGACCTATGAAATAGCAGGAAGGACAAAATCCCTCTCAAAAGGCACATTATTTTCCCTCTTTGGGGTAAAACGGAATTGCTAAAGAGCTGGCAAAGCACAGCAATATGAAAATTATTTAGTATCCCAATTGCATGAGTTGCATGGGTGTCCCACAGATCTTCCAGTATAAGGACAGACGAATTTAGCTCTTCTTTTTGGCCAAAAAACAAACAAAACAAAAAACCACAAGACGCAAACAAGCATCATGTACTTTCAGTGAAATTCTTTTTAGCATTTTGCTTTCATGTACGGGACAAAGCAGGAAACAAAAATTCAGTAGTATAAGCAAAGGGGTGAAAATGTTGGGAAAGGAATATATATTTCTAGTATTTTTTTTTTTAATCTAGCATACTAGTGTTGAACTGAGTGGCTGAAAAATAAGGGTGTTCTAAGCTGCTAGGAAGAAGAAACACACATCAAAACACTTTGGGTAGCAACAGAAAAGAAAGCGATGTGGTTAACCACTTCGGTGGCAAACTTTGGAAAAACCATGTAGCATTTCATCACTGCGAAGAAATGCAGAGTAGGCCAAGCAAGGTACAAGCTGTTCCTATGAGCTTAAAAGTTCCCATGAGCTTAAACATTCCTCCACAACTTCTTGGGCTCAAATGACTAAATATGCCGAATGTACCAAGAGCTGCTCAAATTACACAATTAAGGACAAATCCACACTATCGGTGTGAAATTTTCCCCAAGAAACATGTACTCCATATAAGACACCCCTCCCCTTCTCTCACACATGCGTATACACACACACACACCGGTGCAGCAAAGTTGGGCCGCACAGTCAACATTCAAAAAGCCAATAGAATAAAAAAAATGCTCATGTTTCTATTCTGGCAGCACTCGGTGCCCTAACTCTCACCATGGAGCTATACTTGAGAGTGACTCAGAGAGGAGAATGTTGCCTATGTTTTGTTTGAAGGAATAAAACTTTCCCAAACTGCACCTTTGGGTCCTTTCAAAAAGTCTCCTATCCACCCAGTAAGAATCAGAGCATTAGGCTTACATCGCTGCAACCTCTCCCTCACATTCTATTTGTACAATTAATTCTGACATCGGCAATTTGCTTAGGAAGAAAAAAGAACATTGAAGACTAATGCTGAAGTCTGTTAGACTCCCTATTTGTGCAGAAAATATAACCAGAGGGGTAGCTGTGCTACTCAATCTGGTGATGAACTTTTTTGTAATACCACCTCCAGATCTGGAGACAAGCAGCTCATTCCCCCCCCTCCCCTCCCCCCCATTTTCTTCTGAACTGCTGAATTTGACTTGTTATGGAACACGAGACAGACGGCTCAGCGTAGAGATGGTAGCAGAACTGAATCAAAAGACAGATCTGTCATAACCAGCATTATTAAGCCGTGCATCATGGCTGCAACAGGCAGGCTTTGCAAGCCTCTTGTGACCACGATTTGTCGGTTTCCAAGTAGTTGTACTGAAATTCAGCTATAGAATGCCAAGATTCCTGCAGTCTGCTAAACATTTATCTGGCCCCGAGACTGTTTACTACTTTTTCTTGGCATCAGTGAGAATTTGAAAAAAAAAGAGAGAAACGAAAATTACGAATAGAAGATATTGTTACAAGAAAAAGAATAAGACAGAGATGGAAGGCAGCGGAAGAAGTCAACAATTCCAAACTGCATCAAAAGGTGGAGACTGTAGCTCCTAGATGCTATTACATTTTATAAACTCAATTCTAAGCAATGAGATTTGGTGGGGGGTTTTTTTCTTTGCAGCCCTCTTTCCCTTTTTGCAGTTCTGCAAAATTGGTACCCATTTGTGCAGTATTTCAGAATTCCTATTCCTTGTCCTGATTTCCTTGAGTCTGGGACAAGAAAAGAGATCGCTTTCTGCATAATGACCTACGGAGGCAACCCGCAATTGCAATTCCGTTCGGATCTTGGAAGCCTAGAGAAAGTAGGACCCACACTTTCCCACAATTTTAATAGAAGCCTTGCAGCCCAAATCTTTTCCAACCAACGTATTTTACCCCTAAGATGATGCTATACCCGCTGGGAACGGTTTCCTGTTTATCCCATTCCAATAAAGAGAGACCAGGGGAAGGCAGACTTAGCTGGTCCAGCAGCCATCTAGAGACGGCAGTGTGTCACGTCAACACACTGACATCCAGCTAGTTCAAGGCCCAGCAACTGTATACCACCCCCCACCCCACTTGCTAGTGTTTGACCGTAATTGGATTTCTTTTCGTGTGTGACTTAGCATTCTGACCAAACCCAGATATACTTGGATTAGTTTCAAGTTGAACATACTGCAAACCTGGAAAGCAGGTTTGTCCACTAGTTGGGAGCCAGTGTGTCGTGTGAACCCAGCCATGGGGAGGGGGGGTCCTGACTTAGGTCACCCTCGCCTCTTTCTGCAGGTCCTCACTCCCTGCCGCAGAGTAAAATCAGACACCCCCCCCCAAGGTGTATGTATGTATATGTATATGTGTGTGTGTATACATATACAATAATCAAAGCACTAAAGAGCAAGTTTGGTGCACCCTGTCGGCCCAAATATGGGAGAAAGTGAGAAAGAGCCTGTGGCCTAGAGGTTAATACATCTGCCTAACATGCAGACAGCCCAGGTTCGAATCTCAGAAGGGTATGTCTGGTTGAAAAGAACTAAAAAGTTCGAAATGGCTATTCCAGTTCTCCCTTAATTCTTTGTTAGCAATCCAAATTTTGAATATATATATATATGTATGTATGTATATATATATGTATATGTACACACATACACACATAGAACCCCTATCAGGCAGAAACTCAACAGGTTCGACCTTCCCTATCAGCGAAGGCGCTCTGCCTGTTGAACTGCCGCCTGCCACTGTAGCCTGGGAGAGCTTCCCTCGACCCGGGGGGCTTCGTCCTTTCCGCTGCCCCCCAAGAACACCCCAGGGGCGTCGCCACAGCCACGCACAGCCCAGCCCTCTTTCCCACCCAGGGGCTGAACCAACTGCCTGCCTGCCTGCCTTCCTGGGCACAGACCGACCCGGCTGTTCCCCTTCGCCAGCCACACACACAAACACACCCAACACAACCCCTTCCCGGCTGAAGGGTGAGCAAAGCACATCGGGCGGCCCACGGCAGACCCCACGGCCGCGTCTCCCTCGCCCCACGGCCGGACGCACACAGCTCGCGCTGCCCAACTCCCCCGCCCCCCGGCCGGAACCGACCTGGTGGTGCAGCGGCGCCGGCGGAACCCACGAGCGCTTCAGCCGAGGCTCGGCCGGGCACTTCCGCCGGGACGGACCGGAAGTCGGCGTCGTCCGGGCAACGCGGGCCTAGGCGGAAGGGCTGCTTGGACTCGAGCGCCGCGCGCCGAGCCAGGCCGATGAACGGGTCCGTCGCTGGTCCGCCTCTCCTCCCGCCTTGACGGTCGCAGTCGGAGGAGCGAAGCCGGCCGGGATGGCGGTGCAGGCGGCCCACTTGGAGGCGGACGCCTTCCTGGTCTGCTTGAACCACGCGCTGAGCACCGAGAAGGAGGAAGTCATGGGGCTCTGCATCGGGGAGGTACGGGCGCTGGGCCGGGCAGGGCAGCCCGAGCGGAGGGGGCGGCCGTCCTCCCCGCGCCGGACGGCAAGCAGAGGCTCAGAAGTGGCCGGGCGACGGGCTCGCCCCGCTGGGGCCGCGCAGGGCGGGGGCGAAGCCGGGCTTGGCCCGGATCTGGCGCTGAGAGGGAAGCCGACGTTTCTGGGGTTGCTTGCTCTTTAGTGCTTTGATTATTGTGTTTTATCCCGCCTTTAATCATATTTAATTATAGAACATTTATTAAATAATATCGAATATGTATTTAAAATGTTCTACTAAATATTTTAAGTATTAAAATAATGTTATAAGTTTATGTAGCGTCCAGTTATATACACATATACACACATATACATACATACATACATACATACATACATACATACATGTATATATATATATATATATATATATATATATATATATATACACATACACACACATATACATATATATGCATGTATATATATATACACACGCACATATACATATGGACATATATGTCTTTGATAATTTTGAATATTGGAATCCCAGGTATGGACATTTAAAGTCAATCAGATAAAAATAAAGCACTCTGGGATGTAAGGTAAAAGGCTTTTTTTAATTAATTGCTGAGCTTTCGTTAACAACCTGTTAACATCATAAAATGTGAACACCAGGAGATTATAAAATCATTAAAAGTTTTAATAAAACATTAAAAGCTTTAAAAGGATTTTAAAAAAGAGACCTAGCTTTCGTTGGTTCCTACCAACATCATCAGGGCATAAATAACTCAATGGGAGAAACTATAACCCAGCCAACGCCTGCGCCTGACCTCTAGACCTCGTAATACACACACACACAC